ATGCAGTTGCTTAGGATCGGGCCACTCGAATGTTAAAATGTAACGAAAGAGGGATGGGGAGGGAAACAAAAGTAACGGGAAAAGGGTAGACAGGAACACGTTGTTAGAGTCATTAGAAGCAACGGACCGAAAGAAAGAAACTGCGGTGCCACATGTTAAATCATGAAGGAAGACCGCTCAAATAGTGGGTAGAAAACGATGGGTGACCATACAGCCCGCACAATAGTGCTGCCATAGTCTGTTCCCAGCCACCGTTGGTAGAAATAACATGATTCAAGCAACAATGTCCGAAAATTCCCCGAAATAATGCAAAAGTGAAGTATCCTTGGCACTTGGAACACTAGTTACCGGTGACATTATGTTCAAAGAATGTACGATTCGTCCAGCTTTTGCAAACAAGGTCTAAAGAAGGGCATCAGCAGTAAGCCGGTACGCAGTATCGACGCTCCGCTGCCGCGAAACCACCCCAGGTTGCACGTCGGTTAAGGATATTGCGAGAGTCGTCCTGCTCCTACGTAGGCTCGAACTCGCGCCGTCAGGTTACAAGATCAGCTTGTTACTTTTAGATTATGGGCCGGCCAACGACGCTTAAGGTAAACAGAGGGCGATACGCTACTCGCGACATACTTCACGTCTAAGTAACAACTAAAAGGGTACACTGTTAACACGAATCTACAGTACCGAGTCCTAATAACTGCTACGCGACGATTCGTGATCGTTGGTCACGGGGCATACTCGTTGCTGGAATGCTGCGATAGGAATATTATGACATGAATTCACGATGAGGGAAGGGAACGAGTCTACACGGTGTTTTCGGTTGTACAGAAGTTAAAGAATGCCGATACTTGGCACAAACTCGGCTAGGAAGAAGAATAGATAACCAGTCTGCTGAACAATACGAACCCTTGTTCGAGTTCCTCGTCCTGCATGGGTTGGGGCGCCTCTGCGTTACCCCAATCAGCGTAGCACCGCGCGCGGTTGTACGCGGGAGAGAAGCATCAGCATACTACACCAGTGCACTGCTGATGAATTTTTAACATTGAATAGCCACACAAGAAATACCAGGGAGTACATCAGTGTGTCATGTGGTGGTGTATTGAGTGGATCGCAAACGCACAGTTCTAAGGGAACCCAGGATGATCAGCGAAAATTTAGACTGAAAATGGCACCAAAACTAATTTGAGTATCCATCAATATAACGGAAGGTGTCAGAATTAGAACAACTATCGAGTTACTGTTAAATCAAGTGTTTTCCATGTCGCTTTCGCGCATGAATTCTGTCATGTAAAGCGTAGTGGCTGTATGGATAGAGAATCTTAAGAGGGCCTTAATGCAATACACAAGGAGACTGCGTACGAGCGTTTGAATACCCTCTGGTCCTCTGAGTGGTTTCTGCCCCGAAACACACGCCGTCCGCGCGCTTCGCTGATTTGTTCTCATCGTCGTGCGTTGTCACTGGAAGTACTCATTCTGAGCTGATCGCTTCTTTTAAGTCAGACGTCAACCACAAGTCCATGTTACGGTACCATAGTTGCGATCCAAACCGGTGGAGAGCGTTACCGGATGCATGAATAGGGTACTTGTTCCCCTTCAAGATCTTAGTTACTTATGGAGACAGCGAGATAGAAGCCGTGGCCCAGGACAGGCAACTGTGCAGGGTGGACAGCGACAATGTACAAATTAGAAAGACATGACAGGTGTGCACTAAAAACTACCTGCTTGCAATGACAGTAGCTTGTGGAACATCGATCTTACACACCTGATACGATCACCAAGTGGTCCAATACGAAACCTGTTCACTTGTATTCGTTAACAGCTATCACGTTTAATGTGAACCGCCTTCGTAAGATAGAGCAGGTTCCTCAACGGTTTAATATCCTTTTAGTTATAGGCGTGTCCTTCGCGGAAAACGCAACTAGCTGCGTACACAAAGTGACTCGACAGAGAAAGGTGACAAATGGGATGAGCATTGTCAGAGTGCATAGCCTTACTGGATAGGGATGGGAACAAAAAGTGGACCAAATCACTGGTTAGAAACGCTATTTGACAAGGTGCACTTGAGAGGGAAGCGATGCTCTCCTCTAACTGATGACCCTCCAAACCAGTTATGCAAACTTTTCAAACTCATCAGCGATTGATTGTATGGAAGATTGAAGAGGAAAAGCTAAGTAAGCTTCATTTTCAACCCCCGCCCAATTAGCAATTTCCGTTCTTAGTCGCATTTAACTGGGGGGGGGGGGGCTTCCATGTGAACACAAAGGCTGAAGAGAAGAAGTTAATCAACTCGTCATCCGGAACCTTCGCAGTTATGTCTCAGTATTTCCCCTAAGTGAACATGTACATCTCGATGCGTTTATCTCGACATCGGTAAAGGAAAATGTAAACACAGCCCACTGTTATTTGCTCCTCAGTGTGATGAAAAGAGTCGTGATGTGCGTGAATCTACCCAATCACAGGTTCATCATATTCGTCACCTTCCTCACTGATCATACAATGTGGTGAAGAGTGGTGATTTGGGTTTTGGCGAAGCATCCTTCTCTTGTAGACGGTGACGCCCGGACATGCTTGATGTTAGGTCAAGAAGCTCTGAAACAGCTAACCGAGCTGATACATAATCAGCAACTAACGTATTGATGCTGGCGTAGTAAAGTAACGATTATACCAAAAATTTCTTCTTCGATTAAACCTGGTCATTTCTTCTATGCAATGTGCCACAGAAGTGGGCTGCAAAAGCAATGAGTTGAGCAAGAGCATTTGAAAATTTTGGTAAAGTTGGTAGAGCATAAAAGAGAAAGCACATTATAGAATGCAGAAGACTAGGAGAGACTGAAAAAATTGACGGTCTTGATTCTTCTAACGCCTCTGTAACTGCTACATTCGAATGTATGCATTTATGGAAGAGCACGGACGGTAAATTTTCTAGATTAGACCCTTCGTGTTTATAGTATGTTTATCTGCTTACGCCTGCGGGAGTGAGGCAAACGGAGACAATGGGGCACACTGAAGTTCGGTGTTCAGTTTCAAACGTACAAAAAAGAAACAAAGCTGAATGCAACCGGATTCAACTCCAGTTTTAGGTTTGGGTGGTCTCTCGCGATTAGAGAACGTAACAGACTCATAGTAGTCCAAATTTTAAAAGAGAAAAATTACGACAAGAAGACAGTCATACAGAAAAATCCCATTGTGTGTGTGTGTGTGAAAAGCGTTTGTGGGTCGTTATCGTACGGGGACAAATGGTGCAGCGCTACTGTTTAAAAGTACCTTTCCGCTTTAAGACAAAATTGCTACGAAATTGCTGGTAGCTATCCGAATGGATGTGCATACAATCTAGATCGAAAGCCATTCGGCACCATATTTTCAGTGGTTAATTCAATTTGCGAATGGATCAGGCGCTGTCATATGCATTTGACACGCCCATACCACTTGATAAAAAAGCAACGTGTTTCAGTCAGTTTTCTTAGACTAGCTCGGGAAGGACTCACATTCGTGTTCGGTGGAGACTAGTCTATTAATGGCTACGTCCAGCGACCATAACGAACCATCTCCAACTCTTAAAGGCTGAACAATTGGGGTGGTCGGACAGCTGGCTGACATAATTGTTGGAGTTCAGATTGCCTGCCAGCTGATTCTCTGCTTGTACAACAAATGGCTGTTCGTGTATAGAATGGATAGGCCAAGTGTACAACATCTGAATTGATAAGTCACCTATGCGTTTCTTCAGTCTAAAAGTCTATAGCTAAAGATGTGGTTCTATCCCGGTCCACCCGTCCAATCACCACACTGTCTGTCAGCTTGATAAAAAACCGAATGTTAGAACTAGGGCAGTCTGTGCTGCACCTGTATGTATGAGGCAAGACAAAATATTTCTGAAGTTGATCACAAGTCATGTGTACCAGGGAGGCACAGAACTTATTCCGGCCTTGCGTTCCTGCGGATCAAATAGACATGCAGAAGTGGTGGAGGCAAGCAGCAGGGGTTGCAAATGAAATGAATAACAGTTTCTTTGGAGATAGTAACAAACGTCTACAAAGCACGTAAACAGCTCAAGCACGTTTTAAAAACCACATAGACTGGAAACTGGCATATTTGATCAGCTGGTAATGGTATCGTAGATTAATGATGCCGAACCGCACGATCGGTGTCACTCATGTTCACACACTTCGAATGGATATATTCGAGGCCAGGCATTGAACCAGGGACATTAAAGTTGTTCGTTGACGCATTTATCCCTAAGCCGCTGCGTACTACGATGAACGCTTGTCACAAAGTCACCTGAGTTGGACCCCCAACACCGATTGCCTTCACCTACAGTGCGATGTTCAAAGCGAACAATAACGAAATCGCCCTCAGTTTGAGTGTGGTCCGAGGTTAGCACAGCAAATCGTGAGTCGAAATGCGATCGAGTGTTTCATAAGAAAGCAGAGTTGTTACTTCTAACCAACAACAAATCGACCTGTCTAACCATATTCAATAACAATCCCTCTTCTAGTCTCTGAGCGTGGTGCCAATCCGCGATTTCATGGGTGAGGTATAATGTCCATATGTATGTCGCCGGCTCAAGCATCGTGTGCTTTTGTCCGCACATGTTATACTGCCCACGAGAGCAAGGTCTATACTTTTTCTCAGCCAACTGAATCTATGACGCTTTCAAATTCCTTCCTAAGGAACTAATGTTCCTCCATGGATCTTTCAAGATGGTCCTTAACGCTTTCAAGCTGCATCCAGCGGACAAGAGAGCCCCTAAATGCTACGGCCCATTGAGTGACAAAGCCCAATTCAGGCAATATCATCCTACTCTGTAATACTACCGGATGATTTGGGATTGGTCACTCAACGAACAGTATGCATCTTTTAAAATCGTTTGTGCCCTTTGGATGCGACCTGAAAGCGCTATGGATCATCTTGAAAGAGTCATGGAGGAATTTGAAAGCATTATGGATTCAGTTAGCTAAGAAAATGGAGAGAAGGGAGAATGATTGAAATGGATGCAACAGACTTACTTCATCTCGAGAAAGAGAGTTCTTCGACATTGCTGCGAAGTAGATCATAAATGCGGCAGATCCAGAACCCACGACCACCAAGGAGGCCCAAAATCGGCGCCAAGCGGAAAATCCGGTGGGACGGGCCTGAGACCATGTGTGGCTAAAATCGTTGCTATGACTGGGTGAGGTGAAAGATGGGAAAGAAGCATTCGCTGTTGGTGGATTCAACCGGAACCTAGGACCGAACAATTGGGTCAGGGCATCTAGGCTGCCAAGCGACTGAGACATAAGACGACGTTGGACTACGCCCTGATGCACAACGTGAACACCAAGGAGAGTACCGGGATAATGATGGAACGGTTGAAATGGCGCAAACTGATCTTCCAACACAGAATCGAGTTCACGAGATGGAGTCGTCGGTGATGTGACTCCAGCGGATGAATGCGGTTCGTCGGTTTGCGAAACGGATCCTGCAGGAATGGAAGTACAAAAACGAGGTGAAAACTGTATCCGACTGGTCGAAGGACTAGGTCTATGTGTACAGACGGCAGCAAAAAGATAAAAAAACACTACACCCTTGTCGAAAAACAAACAATGTCAAAAGTGGAGGAAAATACACTCAAACTGGGATTACAACTAGTTCATGGTATACGCCCAGTAAATAATTCCCAACAACGCCTCTGTTTCAAGGTTTCAACAGAAGGTCAACGATTTCCGTGCGTTTCTCGACTGTGACACCTAAAGGGAGATCCGTGACTAAATTGAATAAACTGTCGTACGTGTGATACGATTTTATCGAATTGTTGAGTAAGTAGCCAGCTTTAGGCTAGAGGAAAAATCCAAGAGAAGAGTAACAATGATAGTAAGGTAGCAGATAGTTACGATGGGGGTGAAAGAACACACGTATGGCATTTACAAGATACGTAATAGTACCATAAACCCAGAATTTGGAACAAAACAGGCGAACGGGGACGGTGAACACCAATGAACATCTACGTGATGTAGAAGTAACATGTAAGCTCAATTGTTTATGGATTGGCTAAACGGAATTCGTACAGAACTTCAGCACGTCAGTAACCCTCCACCCTTTCCATAAGCTTATCGACTATGTATGAGGCGAGTAACGAAATATGTGGACAAACCAGCCGCTACTCGTACGCGACAGGTCAGTTAGACGTGAGAACGAGAAATGAATAGACACATGGGAAAACCTGAGATCCCATGAGAGATTTTTGTTACAACTGTTCATTCAGCAGGCACCAAAACAAATTCCGTTAATAATAAGTGTTGGTTGAGCAGGGAGCACTAAGTAGATCGATTCAACATATGCAATGGTTGCCAAATTCAGACGTCAAACAGGAAGTAAGACCTGTCCATGCTTATGACGGACTGGCTCTGTAAGCGAAACAATCGCATAAGAAAGCAGACCAAAGTAATCAAACGAAAGTAACACTAGCAACAGGAGGAAGCCAAAGATGAAAGTGAGCAGCCCGGCAACGAGTTCGAAGCCACGGTGAGCCGCCAAGACACGATGAGGAAGCTATAATGCAGAGGTGGAATGACTTGGCCACTAGCTGCTGACATAGGCTATGACAAACATAGACAGCAACAGTAGTGAGTTTAGAAGACACTCCATCTGATTTCGAACAATGTTCCGTGTACCTGATGTATGTAGTCCACCACAATGATGAATCGGAAAACGGAGGGGGATCAGACCACAGACCGTCTAGTGAGAAAGATGTTATTACCCTAGCTGTAGACCGGTCGTACGCACACCGCATCTATGGGGATTAGTGACCATGAGAGACTAAAAGATAGACACTCCGACCAATGAACGGTACACCTGGATTCGTGCTACTCAAAGAAGCTAAAGTCGTTACTGGCACACAACAAGGAGCTCCCGGAAGCGTCAGACGAGTGATGCTGAACGGCATCTGTCAAGTAAAACAGCTCACTGGGCCACGGATTGCAACATGCAGCGGTCGCTCAAGGGCGTCAATCTAATTCAAATTGAAGCAAGTCTGAATACCGGCCACCGAAGGATGATTTTGGAGATCAATTTAGAGGTAATGGTAAGTAGACAAATGTCTTGGTGATTGCCGTATGCAAAACAACAAGTACGACGGTTGACAACCACAAATCTCAAGGCCATCACCAAAGTTAAGGATGGTGACAACAAGCGGACTGCCACCATCTCCTAGGGATTTAATAATATCCTCAGATCCATGTAGATTGTTTCGAGGTAACAATACAAATTAACGTGGAGGCTCTTCGATGCCTGGAGTCGTGACGTCAGCAATCCAGAAGCGTGAAAATAACGCGTTAGGTAATGGTAAAATCGCAATTAGGCAGGACTGTTTCTCCAGGTGTTCCAGAAAAAACATTATGGTTAGGGAGTCTGAAGGTGGATGAAGGGTGGAAGTTACACAGTTTTCGTCTCATCAAGTGAGTTCCTGGCGACAAGTGGGGTTCGCCAAGGTTGCTCTATATGTCTTGCGCTCTTCAACTCTGTGATTAATATGATCCTAATTGACTCTGTCCTCTAAGCCTCTTCGGAGGTGTAACCCTTGCCAAATGACCAATTCACAAATCTTGAGCACGCGGACAACATGATTCTCCTAGTCCGACATCGCGAATGTGCAAGCAATAGTGAACAGGTTGATGCAGTGTTGCACCTTCAAATTGCAAAGCACTGTCACAGGAATGGTGTGACACGCCAGTGGTTCTTGTTATCAATACACAGTTACCGGAAGTGGATTATCGATTCACTAACTTTGGTAATGGTGATACCACTGGTGATCACATCAGTGGAGGTATTACTTTAGCATCAGCGAAAGTTTTGTGGCTTTTCAAAGACCCAACCATCCATGGAGAAGATGAAGTATTGGCCTATCGGTTAGAGAGTATAACGCTGTGACGAGGACGGTGTTATTGTATGGGCCAGATACCCAGTCAGTTTGCAGTAGAAGCACTAAACGTTTGTTGTGTTTGATCACCGGTGCTTGCAAAATATTGTCCACATCTGGTGGGAACACCGAGTAAGAAACTCTGCAAGAAACTTTGCGGTGACGCATTGGAGCATGTCAAACTAAAAACCGCTTAGGTTGGATAAGTCATGTCCTTCGTGAGTCCCTAGACCGCCGACCTCAGCGTGCATTATACCACATCACTGCACTGATTTGGGCAGAACTGCGAGGTCGCTATGGGTTGACGAGGCGTGAAAGCATGAAGAAATTGGCCGAAAGATTTCATTCACACGGTACGCGTCGTCTTCAGAGTGAGTCATGTCAACGACTGGAGATCCTTTATCGGACATAGTACGATCGTGGAGTCAGTGTCGCTCCTGCACTCGGTTCCCTGTACATAGCAGTTAATATTCCACCCGAGTAAGTTTACTCGCTACGTTCTTGACATTCTCCTTTGGTATGCTGTTTACATTCTAGGCTCGTTTCCCCACCACTATTAATTAGTGTTAGCCTCTGAATGCGAATCATGGCAAGCGAATCCACGGTGTTCCGGCGTCCGGATCAAAAGTAGGAAATAGAATAAAGCAAAAGTTACTAAATGGGATTTTCTTGAGTATATGCTGCGCATGAGTCATTAGAGTAACCGAGTGAACTCAGTGGTGCATATCTTTCACGTTTCAAAAACCAGCCGAAAACCAACGCTCTCGGTCAATCCCCGCATACCGTACCGACGCTTCACTGCCACGCTACCACCATGGGTCGCGCGAGGGCTGGGTATATCGCAAGGCCGTCCAAACCTATGCGGATTCGACGCAGTGACCTCCGGAACACAAGGCAAGCGCGTAATCCTCTCGGCCACCGGCGCTCAACGTTCTGTTCGGAATAGAACAACCGCTTTATTAAGATGTCTGTGCCAGTAGAAGTGATCTGAATATTCGGATTCTTAATCACACGGGTAAAAAAATTAGAGATCCCGATAAAGTTTATCGCTGACAGTCACCTGGATGCATTAAGTTTGAGGAACACACAAACACTCTTGTAGAGGTTGGCAGCTGAAACGCACATGTGAGGCGACTATTTTCAAGGGTTCACTCGGCGTCGATGGCCTTCAGATTTTCAGTTGAGAACAATACTGGATTTGTAAATATTTTCACTCATCGGCTCGGCGTTACCAAAAATCTAAGTGTACGCTGAGCGCCAATCGAGTCTGAATCAGAGTCGAGGATTGGTTAAAACGTTTAGGCTGCGTGCTTTGGACCTACATTATACATATATCAGAAAAGAGTTCAATCGAAAGCGAACACTGTCTGTTGATTAAGCTGGCTAGAAAACGACCGTTGAAACAACTAAGATGAAGTGGGTTGTTTTATCTGAAAGAGGACTTGGACACAAACCTAGCACAGGTTAGGGAACGGGAGCGATCACCTGCTGGTAAATGTAGGAAAATAGTTGAAATGGGGGCGAACCAAAGAAAGCAGAAGCGCTGTAGACGTTTTGCGGGTACGTGATACTGCACATTCTGAGAGTTTTGTTCGAGGTTCCATACTACCAGACTTTGACTCAAGAATCTAGCCAGCAAGAAAGTGTCTTAGACTGCGATAGGATTCGGGGCTCTATTCTGATCCTTTAATTCAATAGTTTAACGTAGAGGGAAGTGGCGCAGCTGGAGAGTTCCGCGGAAATACGCCGGGGGCTAGTAGCAAGCAGTCTCGTGAAGAAGTTTAGTCTCATGGGTGAGTGTTACCTCTCATCCATTGCTCCTGAAAGACATAAGGACCAAATGGACTGACGCCACTTGTATGATGAATGTATCGTGAGGGTGGCCAATGATTACATGTCCGGTAAGAGCACTCGCACTACATGATCTCGAACGGCGAATAATGAGCTCGGCTCCAAGTTGGATGTAGGTGGGGGAAAGAGTGCAGAGTTGAAAACGAATTGAAGCGGAAGTAAGGTAAGGATGAACCAGAAGGGACGAATCACGTTCGTCCATGCTTCTGCTCTGACTCATCGGAGCAGTAATCAAAGGGCGTCTGCATACAGGGAAATCCTGAGGTAATCACAACAGATAATTATCGTGATGCAGCGAACATCAAGGTCATCTGCGAGAGCTGACAGCTGTAAGCACGTCGCTATTGTGCAATAAACATGCAAAAAAACTAGACGTGTCATATACAAATAACGACAATCCAGTAGTAGACGATTATGTTAGAAGAAAAGCTTATACGCATACCAGGACTGGTTTCACGACGTTTGGAATCCAGTGTGCATTCTGACTGCGTCCCATCAGTAAACGTTGATTTCGACTCTCTTGTCATAACAGCGGCACAAACTGCGGTAGCCGACAGGGCCACTGGGCAGTAGATTGCTGGTGAAGCATGGTGATTCACAGCGGAGTCGGAGTGTAGACTTTGGAGATGAAAACGAAAACAGACAATGCAACCGAGCAAGTGACACAGTTGTGCGGAATAGAAAGTAAACGAGGAAATCGATAACCAGTACACCGGAGTAAACTCTGTTTATTCATGCGGATTGTTTTGAGGGTTGTATTCAGAGAATGGAAACGGAGTGAGATGCACAGAACTTATCCTGTTAAAAAGAGAAGCCGGAGGGTCGAGTAACAAGTTTGAAATAGTTGAGCTGGAGAAACGATGACGATATGTAAACAATAGGTGGGAGTGGAGAGGTGGGTGGTGCACGCGAAAGGACGACCGAATAACAGTGCAACGGGAACAGATCGTTTAAATGAAGAACAAGGGAGCTATTGCCTTAAAATCTGCCCCACTATACATGGATCAAAGGTGTATATGAACACACGTGAAAACGAGCAGAATTGAGACCGACATTAACGAAAAACCGGGTTAGGTGCGGAGTGGGATGGTGCAGTGAAAGTCGAAAAGTGTGAAGAACTCGGCCAAAGCCCCCCCCCCGCAGAATTCATCAAGCGATACACTTTGAATCAACTCGTGAAAGCTGATCAATAATAGAGCGTTGGCACGGAAAGTGCCCACGGTAGATGGGAGAACGCGTACAGACCGAGGCCTTCATAAAACGGTGCTTCCTTCGAGATCGACATTCCCTAGGACGATTGGAAGGTGAAATTTGTACCCAGTAGTACACGGTAGCAAGGAGACTAAGTAGTTAAGAATGAAACCACGCCACCTGAAACTTATAGCGATTGTATTGATTTTGGTCCATCGACGGCTAGCTGCCGGAGGACTGCAAGCCGTGCCGGTAAGAAACAGATGAGGTTCGGTGCGTGTTCATAACATAAACGCTCACCAATGGCCATGCGTTCGGGGTTAAGCTAAAACCGTAAACTTGGCTCAACTAGTTAAGGAACTCAGAGAAACCATGTATGCGTCCATATCCAATAAAATTCAAACGATATTGCAAAGTAACGTATCAAGTTTAGGTAGAATGAGTCTGAAAAAAGTCAGGACTGCAGTCGGTGGGGGCACAATACAACACGGGAAACAAATAGCATCTGGCGCTGTTCTATGCGTTAAACTTGGTCGATGTCCACAAAAGAAATGCATACAAACGGCTGCTCACGGGAATCCAATCAACGATCGAGAATTTAGTCATGAAGCTAAGAACAACGCCGACCTGTGGTTACTGCATTAATGTCCCTGGAGGTGTATAACTAACAACTACAGGACAAGTTGAGTGCAATTAGTTCAACAACCACATGAAGAATATTGCCCTTAATTTCCGACATGCAGCATCCGTCAACATCGAGGGCCCAGTGTGCGTGCAAGCGGTACCTGTTAAATTATCTACCCTAGGATACGGACGTTGAAAGTAACCAGTGAAAAGGGCGGTGCAACCTGACAAGGGATTTTTTATGACAGAGTTTCAGCGAGAATTATGGAAATAGAGCTGTAGATGGAAGAACTTCAGTGGTGTTGTAACTGCTGTAAATAACACTAGATATTACGCAACGAGGGTTAGTAATAGAGATGGGTGAGGTGTAAGAGGAAGCGGTAATAAAGAAAGTGGGGTATTGGGTTTCGTTTATCTGCCCTGCTGCATACCGCGATTACGGTGATTTCATAGAAACTGCGTGACGGTCGAGCACGGTGTGAGTGGGGTTTGAGAAGAAAGTTAATTATGATTGCACGTAGGCGGGGATACTGCCAAGATGAACAGACTTAGGTAGGAGAGATTACGGTCACCAACCAAAAACAATGGACCAAACGTCAGTTAATAAGCCAGTGGGGATATGACAATGATACGGCTTATAGACCATATATTCATGTTGTAGGTGCTACAGCAGCGTCACATACACCGCAGACGGAGAATGGCTACGTTCCTCTACTGTAAGAGTGCCTTCGACACAGGCAATTGATCTAATCCGATCGAGATACGTGCGCGGAAATGTGGTTCCATGAAATATGTGAACATTTTATGCGCTATGTATCTGAAGACTACACACCGTTTTAGGGTATGCGGTGAAATGCTGGATATCATTCCGGCAACAAGTGTCATTCGTCAGGGCGGAGCTATTTCCCTTTGTTCAGCTTGGTTATGGACTCTATCATGCAGTTTCCTTGTGGAATCGTACACCGTAGGCGCTGAGCTGTTGCTTAATGAAAACCAAGCTGATCTTGCAGGACTGGGCCGACTCACTCATTTTGGGTATTTCCAAACAGTCGCTAGAAGTGGTGCATCGGCTCACTTACCTTGGTAGCTATGTCATTTCTAGTGGTTACTTCGCCTATTAACAAGGTCCATGTCGCTTTCCATAGACTCAATCATTTATGGAGATGGCGGGATACCAGCGTGTCAATGAAAAGTAGGGTGGAAACGTTGTGATAAAGCCTGTGTTACTGTATAGATCAGAAAGGTGAGCAGTTCGCCGTGAAGACATTAAACGCTTGGCCGTGTTTGACCACCGGTGCTTCCGAAGTATTACTACCTTTGGTGGGAACACCGTGTGAGCAATGCCGAGGTCCGACAGATGGCTTGTTGAAAGAAGCCTTCTGGTGCCTCTCTCGAGTGTTTGATAAATCTTAGTCGCTTGTGTTGGTTAGTCCATGTCCTCCGTATGTCGGTTGACCGCTGTGCATTACATACCGTGTCCGCACTAGGTTGGGCGAAACACTGAGGTGGTCAGTCCATGACAACGCATAGAAGATTGAAGAAAGTGACTGAGAGACTTGGTCAGGCTGGTGCGTGCCGATTTTCTGAATAGAGACCTCAGGATGGACCACACGAATGGTTGGAGACCGTGTCAAACATGGCACAGTCACGAAGTCAGTGGCGTTCCTGCATTCGGCCTCTTTCATCTGGTTGCTAATTTTCTTTTCATTCTGATTGGTCTAAAGCATTTCACTCTTGCTTTCATTCTCTCTACGTTCTGTTTACACCGAACCCCCCTATCCTACAGTTGTGGTTAATTGTTACTCATACTTTATGAGTCGCGGCAAATGTACCCACCGAACTTCGGGGCTCGGATTATAGTTGTTCAACTGAACAACTGAGCTTCATTCATCATTATTCTCATTAAACATTAGCTGGTTCCAAGGCTGAGACCGAGGTTCGAGGGGGAAGATAAGCGGGATGGAGGGACAAAGAAACTCACTGAGGTCAGCTTTTCGCCATGTCAACAACTGTATCCAACCAAACGCGTTCATCGTCCTTCGGACCCAAGCTCGACAGTCGGGAGACGCAAACCGACGCCAGCTTCGAAGTGAGAGCTTCATCCCTTTCGACCAAGTTATCGCTTGGTTTTCCCTCCTCCGCTCCCATCCACACCCCCGGTGCTTAAGCAACGCATGACGTGGGAGTTGGTGTGCTGGGATGCGCAACACGCGGCCCAGCCATCGGAGCCTGGTACGTCATATAACGGTGCTGAGAGGTTCACTCGCTCTTCCTGCACTAAATACATAACGCCGAACGCATTCATTGCTCACGCGGTGCTCCCACTAGACATGAACTAAGCTGCGAAGGCAGCGATGATCAAACGCAACTAGCCACTTTAGGTTTGTCGATCGGCCAGGTTTCGCAACCGTACAGGAGGGTCAAACGGACGACTGCATTGTAAACTGACTTTCATGGCGAGTGTGATGTTGCGCCGGCATCACAGATGGCGTAGATTGACAAAAGTACCTCGAGATTTGGCTATACGATTCAGATCTCATCTCTCCACTGGTGTTGATATATCTGCCTAGATACTTGAATTCTCCGATGAGGTCTAGCTGGTAAACACCAAGGGTCAGTGCAGGTCTGGGTCCTGAAGTCTCGGGGAAGGACTTTGCATTTCAAGGGTGTAAGGCACAGCCCGAAATGACTGACAGCCAAAGATAACTTGTCCAGGGCTGTTTGGCACGTTTGGGAACTGTCGAAGGGCAATGTCGTCCTAGTGAAGATGTTTACCTGGGAGCAGGTCCACAACTTTAGGTCGTGTGCATTGAACGCAGTTCCCATGATTTCACCAAAGGCGAAGTTAAAGAGGAATGGCAACAGCAGCCAACCTTGCCTCACATTGCTAGATGTAGAAGGGCAGCAAGAGTTTACCATAAGTCATCACTCTGCCAGAACTATGCAGGTTCAGCAATTTTATAATGTTTACGTATTTATCGGGCGCACGGATCCATCGAATCGAAGGCATCTTTGATGCAGTGGAACAAGATCACGGTGGGACGCCAACAATGGACGTAAAGTATATATATATATATATACATACATATATATACATATATATATATATATCGCGATGTCGAGCCATTGAAAAACCATGAGGAATAAAAGGAGAGTATAAAGGTCAAAAAAGCGAACTAATTTATGGGCAATTCTGTTACATTTTTCTTTTCACAAGCCATGTTGTTATTGTTTGTCAGTTTATTTGCTATAGCTCTAATCATAGTGCTCAAATGAGTTAAATATACAGTTCTTCCATTGACTCCGGTTTCGCGCCATATTATCACGTGTGTCAAGCAATTAGCAATCCTCATCCACAAGCCTCCAACCAGGGAGACGTATAGGGCCAACGATTGCAAAAGGTCAGCAATTTCATGGTATGCCACCAAGTGGTTGACTGATCTCCATGTGTTCTCTTCCAAATCAATCCCGTGCGAATAAATGAGGCGCGGCGTGGTAAGCGCTCGCATGACACGTCGAACGTGGTCAAGTCACCTAAATTGACGCAATGCGACAAGACGATCAAGTGGAAGGCTCATGTACTCCAAGACGCGACGCGGGATCTCATAGTTGCGGACCCGGTGCTGCCACCACATAAGGGCTATCCTCCGCAAACATGTATTGTCGAAGACAGAAAGTCGGCGCAGGTCATCCACACGAATCGGCCAGGACTCACTTCAGTACAACAAAACCGAGCGGACGCAAGCCTTGTAGACCTTGCTATCTAAGGAGAAGGATATGTCCTGACGACGTCACAAATGACTCAGATTGGTAAATGTCGATCGGGGTTTGGCGATACGTAGAGATAAATTCTTCCCAATAACGCCATCAACAGAAATACAGCTTCCGAAGTAGACAAAGTTGTCCACAAGCTCTAGCTGTGTATCTTCAAGCATAAGTGAAGGGATGGCCAGTAAAGTCTTGATTTCGACGAAATCCAACTTATTCTTCACGGAGCTGGCTTTCACAGGTGCCAGCAAGTTAAGAAAGAACGACAGAGACAAGCAACTTAGAGGTGAATGAGATCAGGCTGAACATCTAATGGCTGCCGAATTCCAAACGCGAACCTCCATTGAAAATGGGGACCATGACAAAGTGACTCCAGTCTGCTGGGAGAGTCTCCTGCTCACACAGCTGTGCAGATCATCCACAAAAGGAGGCCCCCGAATCTGAAGGGGGCCGGAGGAAGTATATCTGCTACTGCGACGTTATCCAATTTCAACAGTCTGATCTCATGTTCGACATCCGCGCGTGGGGGCGGATTAAACGGCACAGCCAAAGGAGAAGGGCAATCAATGGCCTTTAAGGAAAATGGCAACTCTGGTTGATTAAAATGCTTTTTAAAGTGTTCGGCCCAACACTCCGGGCGTTTTGACAAGCCGTGGATTAGATCTCCACTCTCGTCGCATGTAGTCTCGCAAACACCAGATCTCATGCTGCCCGTTTCCCATACCAACGGCGGCGTCCAGTTGCATCTACGATGCACGTTGAGACCACCAGGCTTCGCGGTCATTCATCAAGCTAGCGCGCAGTTTCGCTCTGAGAGCTTTGCGAGTCTCACTGTATTCGCTTTCAGCCAGAACACATGAACAAGCATCCAGAAGTTCCAAACACTGAGCAGAGACCCTATATATACGTTGAAAATTTGATTTGCCACATAAAGACTTGCCTGCCGCTAATAACGGCTGGTGGATATGCGACCAGTGATCTTCAAATGTGTTCAATGAGCGTTTACTTAGATCATATGCCAGCGTACTTTGATACGAATTCAGAACACCTGGCTTTGCCGGCCAGTAAACATCTATTTGTTCACAGCGCCGTTGCGGAAGTCCACCGAAACGCACCCAGGAGGTCGGCGCAAATAAGTGGGTGGTCAGAGTCTATGCTCGTGCGGCAAATCAAGCGACAGGTTTGGACGCAATCCCTCCAACGGCAATGGGTTGGTTGCAATGTGGTGGATTTGCCTCCGTGGCTGGTGTGCGCCATGTCACCCTCTGGCGAATGCCGTGTCCTAAGTTGGTGCTCGCGATAAACAGGCGAGCATTTTTACACAGGTGTAGCAACCGTTCACCGTTATCATTACGGGTGCCTACACCGTGTTGGCCATCCAGAAAGCAGCTCATCAGTGGGTAGTTTTCCAACTTGAGGGATCAAATCACCAGTCAATACTACAGTATCCGAACTTCTATGACGAAAAAGCTTGTTCAGTTGATGACAGAAGCCATCATTCATGGAGTCCGCGTTAAAGTTTGTGAGGGCATAGACAGAGATCACGAACAGACATTCTTGATCAGACGCAACTTAGAAGGTTTGAATGAGCCAGCCAGTCTGACGGCGCATATCCGGCTACTGACTGGGACCCGGTAGACCAGGGGAGCTAAGCCGGGTTTCTAGAGAAATACGTCGGCTTGACCGGCGTTCGAAACTGCATCGCTTCCGGGTAGACGCAATGAGAAAGTGCAGGCAGTGTCGCAACTGGGGGATCGCAAGATGAGCACAGAGGTTGAGTTTTGCAAGTGAGTTTACGATGAACAGCAGGTATTGATCGATAGGGACTTTTGTGTTCGGGCAATTGCTACCTGTTGACCAATTCACAACAAATTGCGTACGTCGAGGCATACTAGCCTTAGCGAGAATGTAGGGATCCAAATGAAAACGGATGGACTGACGTTGTCCGCTTGATTGAACATAGACTTGTCGACCTAACCGAAGTGACGCTAGGTAAATGTGTGAGCTAAAATTAGAAGGCAAGAGATTATCGAAGCAGAATGGGAGAGGGCCGAGCATTTTGAGATAAGTGAAATTGCAAGAGGACGATAAGCATAAAAATGCGCAAGAGGGGGAGAAGTGACCAGTAGCATCCTCACTCATATCTACCCCACTCGGTGAAACAAAAACGGTGTCGTTGGTTATCAGCTGCGACAGCTAGAGCATCAAAAAACTGTGTGAAGAAGTTTGCACTGTAATGCGTGAGCAAGAGACTCTAAGAATGCCCAGGACTAAACAGGGTTCGCAAGCAATTTTGATTAAAAAAAACCCACCGCAAGGCAGCAGGAATTTGGCAATGGGCTACAGGGAGTTCGTCCTAACGAATACGGAGCCACCCTCACTCCAGCCCCCAAAATGGAGGACCAGAAGACTGAGTTTGTATGACCTCTTACCGTTGACCAATCTGATATGTGTGACTGAAGATATAAGAAGCGCCACCTAGCAAAGCTCAATGGGTCGTTAAGGCACGCAAACCATCGCGCAACGATAAAGTACAGTCTCATCGCGATGGTCACTATGAATTCATTCTCTACATGCCCCATTTAATGCTGACTTGGTGAGACGAACTAAATGGATTTTTGCGAGAATCTACTGTAGCCACCCGTTTCTATTGTCCCACACACTTCCTGAACTGAGACCAACAGGTGTCCTTCTTGGTTAAAAGACCTCGTTTTAAGTTTCACCTAGTAGCTCGTTCGGTGACGCTGTGCTTGAAGTCAGTGGAAATTTCTTCTTGTATCTTATCAGGACAATGAAATATTCAAAAATTAAATTCCCATATCGCGGTGATTGATATACGCAGTGGGTAGGAGCTCAAGCATGCCAGCGAAAATTCTGTTCCATGCCTCGTGGTATTATGGGAACAATCTGTGGTGCGATCTCCACTGACCGTAAACTCAAAAGGATTTATTATCTTCTACTGTGAAGGCTATTTGCTGCGCCTCCCAGCAAAATTTAAGAAAACGGGAGTATGATGGGAAATGAATGACAGTCAAAGATGGGACCGAATTAATTGAAGCCTATGGCGATTGTATGTGCTTGCGTGTAGTAGCTGGAAGCGCCAGATAACACATCGTGTGCTAAGATGGTGCAGTTTAGCAGTGTAGTTTTCTGCGGAATGTCATAAGCATTGTTCAAAGTCGGTACATTCGGAAGCCAAAACAGACCCATAAAATAATTAACCACCTGCTGACCTCATATGTCCTGCCTTCGCACTCATATAGGCCTGTATCTGGAATCATATGTTATCTAACTGCACTGCATGGTAGTAAAATAGGTTCGTGGTGGAGGACAACAGTGGCGACATCAGGACTTCTGTCGATTAGGGATGAGCAGCGCCCAAGAACAAACACCGTCTAGTTCTTACGGTTAGTAGTTTTGGACTAGTATTGCCAAGCGGGATGGATACTGACAGAAAAGCGCAAGGAGCCAAACAAAATCGGAGGACACCATTAATGCTGTGCATAAATTCGGTTTGCTGTACGGTTTTTCGTCGTCAGTAACTCGTTCTTCGTCTCCATAACGGGTCATATGTTACCGCTTGCGTGGACTAATCCACTGCTTCCTTGCTCAGAACAACACAGCGTCTCGATCGTGTGACGCCGAACCGACCTCTACTGGCATCCACTCCATACAACTGTCGCAAGCTGGTTGACGAGTTAACGAAAACGTGAAGGGCGCTTGATTGGATTTCTGTCCGTTGGTGCCGCACCTAGTTAGGTCACATTCACCAGTAGCCAGCATCACAGACACACACAGATTGCTATTAACGGGGACCCTGTCAACAAATGAGGTCTGCGTTTTAGAGATGTGAACGATGCCCACTTCAACTTGATCTGTAGTTAGTACATCAACATCACCGGACGCATGCCACCCACGCGGAGGAGACGACCAATGCATAGGTAGTTTGATAGCCGTGTGAGTCGTGGATTCCGGCTTCGGGGATGCAGTACACCATGTCACGAAGCAGATCGCAGGTTCGCGAGCCTGGGCCAATTGTTTTGACGCGCAAACGCCGATTATTGCAAAGGAAAGCATCCTAAGTGGTCTGACAGGGGCTTGACGAGGAAGGGCTATATGGAGTCGTGGTGATACGGACACAGATAACCAAACCTCATTAGTACCACAGCTACACTCAAAATCATCGGGGACTACGGAAGGAAAGCCTGTAGGGAGGGTCTGAGGAGTGGAATAGGGAAAAGTCATAACAGCAGCTTTCCGCCGCCTATCCACCCTAGCACACGCAGCAGATAAGATGGACAGCTTGAAGCGGCGTGACAGTCGATGCCAGGTGAGACTAAGGCCATGGCTGGAAAGGACAGTGGACACAGCTAAGGTGCTCAAAAACAGACAGGAATCGAGTTTGTATGAAGCAGCCCAAACCGATGCTGCATTAGCTGGTGAACTATTGCAGGACAACTGTACCGGAGCACGACGATGTCACACCTGCTGATATAATCAAAGTGGGTGCGATAACCTGAGGTGAGATTTATTTGAGCGCCAATCATGTTGATGCGCTTAGTTAGTTCTGGAAGCGTGCATGCGATACTCACTGCCCCGTGTCATCTGGCCGAAATTCCACTGTCCGAGCTAGATGAAAGAGATAGCATGTGCCGAAAGCATGCTGGTCGTATGACACAACAACGTTCGTTCGGATGACACGAACATCGTCAGGGAAGGCGCCGTAGTATACAATGCCTCATCAAACGGAATACTACGCCCAGTCTCAATGAGACACACTACAGAAGACTGTTTAGCTGCGCCACTCAAAAAATGAGGAAAGGAAAATGAAAGCCGCAGATAAATCAAAAGCAACAACAATGGAGACTAATAGCCTACTGTGGGGGATCAAAGGCAGTGCTAACCTGAAGGAAGGTGTTAGAGTGGCTCTCTCAGCCGGGTCACATGCGTCGGAAACCTTAGGGGCGCCCGGTGTCGGACATCTGTTGTACGGATCTCGACATTGGGCCAAATACGGATACACCGCCGATGGTAAGTTCGCTTCCGAAATGTCATGGTCGGCGAGGAAATCGGAGCGCAACGGTAAATCAGATTGTGGAGTGGAGGTCCTTACACTCTGTCCACATGAAGGTCTCGGTGGAAGCGGGGGTAAATGTCGAATATCAGAACGGTCTGGAGTAAAGCTGGTATTGTAGAACTGGTATTTCTGCAGGAAAAGAAGAACCCGAATTCTTCAAAAAATTGTGCGAACCCCCAGAATGATTTGACGTAAAACAAGTGTTATTGCACCACAAATGCATTAAGTGGAATACAATTGTAATCCAGTTCCCGGACAAGAACATGGTAATGATGGTTTGAGAGTAAGCTATTACTGCGGAAAGCGTTTTCCAAAAAAAATAAACCATCTGCTTCGAATGTGATCAAGTTCCGAAATCATACTTTCGACGCGGATGATGGATATCGAGCAGTTAATAAGGTGGTATAAGTATTCGGTTAGTGGGTTATATATACAAAATTTATGGGAGTGGAACAAATATTGACAGCATGTAATACAAACACGTATATTCGTCCGAATCGCAGAAAAGAAAGACGGAATCACCAGGGGGATGACGGCCTTCCTATAAAAAATAAGAACCAGTTTAATTCACTGACAAAGCAGACTGCTGACATGATGTAGAATAGTGCCGACGATTTTATGGACAAAAAATAGCTGAGTTTTGATTTAGTGACAATAAAATGAAGAGTGATTAGCGCTGAAACTACGAGTAAACACTTAGTTCAGAACAAATGCGTCAATTCAATGCGGAACACAAAGTAACCAACGGTTGACGAGTAACAGAGCACCGGGTAGTGGCAGCCACAACTTGCTAAAGCACTATTGTAGCCAATCGGGTCATGACAAATCTGATAGCGAATATAACCCGTGCAAGACATCGAAAGCAGTGAATGCATACCCGGTAATCGTACATAATAAACATGTTAGAATCCGCCAAAATCTTGTGACCAATAAAAGCGGATTAATGCAGATGAAGAATCAGAATATTTTGCCGTGGTTCAACAAACAGAAGGAAATAAAACAGTGACCTCTGTTCAGCCACTTCGACAAAGTATAGAGAAGATAGAAATTGTGACACATCGATATTGCGATTTTTCTCATCGACCTCAAATATTACAAGCGGAACGAGTACATGAGTATATATGTGGGACAATTAGTAACACCATCCAAATGTCATAAACAAGAACGAGACAACTCAAAAGATTGCCTCAAGAGTTTCTGCGCACGAAAGACAATGTACGCGGCGGTTGACCGCTCTAAATCTACCGATATCCCATAACGTGGAACAACATGGTGCCTTGATGTTTGAGTATATACTCATTAAAAAAGAACCGGTACCCTGCAGTGCACCGTTCACCACAAGGCGACCTAGAGTTGGCAGTAGCTCCACTTTTCCACCTTCCCCGGTCTCGTACAAACGCGGTATAGCGAAAACTTTCTTCTACAGAGTTAGAGGAATCTGCAGCACCGAAATGTTGAGAGCAGCATCAATAACTGCACGAAATATTAGTGTCAAATAAGCATCCTGAGAAGTTCATTTAGATCCACAGCGGGCCACCCAAGAAGAAAAGATCGGTGTCAACAGCAGAAAAATGATGTGGATTTGTTCTTGGCAGTCAAATGGGAGTCACGTAGTAAATGACATCGGACGCAAACTCCGGTCTGCCGTAACACGCATCTACACGACCGCCCAGTTGCGGCTCATGCATACCACGCAAAGTCTTGTTCTTCATAACGGTCACAACAGCTCATCAGGTAGTTCGGCCTCTCACATTGTTTCTCAGTTCATCCGCATTTGCGGTGACATCTACATAGACAGAACGGACCGTCAGTTAGCTCAGAGGGTAGCTAACACTTGCCAAAGAGGTTCGGACAAGTGATGATGGAACAAAGTGCAGCGGATTCGAGGATGAGCCGGAGCCCGGCATCATCTAGCACCAAGCATTTAATGGTAACAAATTAAATAAATTTATTCTCGACAGGTTCGAGGTACGCCTCTAGGCAAGATCATAAATTCGTTATTATATGAACCAGTAGACCGTAATCAAGGCGTTATTGCGCAGCGAAAACCCGATAATGTTGGCACCGGTGAGGCGTTGTCAATTAGGGCCAATCAACCTGTGTTATGTGCAAAGGAACTCTAAAGGCAATTAATTAGGTCGGCTTGGTGTTGGTTATGACATTTTAATTGGTGTTGCTAATTGTCCCATCCATATAGCCGTGTATGTGTTATGCTTAGATAGTGTTGGCGACTGATGAGACTAATCGAAGTGTTGACATATTGTGACCTCTGTCTTCTCTCTGCTTCAAAGAAAACTGCCAAGAAAAAGTAGGCAGTCATAATACTGAAAATAGAGAGCTGGAAGATTTGGATCGATGTTGCACCATGGATATAATAGTGGGCACGCACGCGAAATAACAATAGCAATGCAGTTTGGCTGTGCAACATTCCATTCGAGTGCGATGTGCTACCGATATTGTAATCCACAAAGTGGCCATCAAGGGATTGGTTGAATTCCGACATCGATTTTGCCTCGCTCAGTGTATCGGGCCAACTGTTCCAATATTTCACCACTCTACGCTCGAAGCATAGAGGATGAACTGTCCGCTTCAGATCCGGCACCATAAGCTTGCACCAGTTTCTGCGAGTGCTGCTTGGTGCGCGCAAGCGGGTCAGTGGCCTCAGCATGGGGAAACGACCCAGATGAAATATTTGATGTGTCATAATGGGGTCAACTTTAAACCGACGATATGATAGGGTGTACAGCCCTAACCGTCTGCATCGGTCTTCATACGGTATACCCGATAAACTGGGGATGAGCCTGGTAGCCACATGCTGAACGCATTCCAGTCTGTGCACCGTGGGTGGACCCCACTCAAGAAATGATCTTACGGTGGAACAGCAGAGACGCGTGGCCATCACTTCAGGCCAATCCGTAAGAAGTGAACGACCTAGAGTCCAAATAAACGATGGAGTGACTCGTGATCAAGCGGCTGGCATCTAGGACAAATCCAAGAAGTCGTTGAGGCTACCCAAATATGATGGTGGGTCCTGGAATTCGAGGGACAGGGCATTCGTGAAGAAATGATAGGACGGGGTGATCATCTAGGGCGAAATAGGGCAAGTGACAGCTGCTTATTCAGTTGTTGTGGTGTTCTCCGTGGTTGGCGATTTGAAGGCGAACGTTCAATTACCACTCGAGGTGACATCATCAAGGCAGGAGTGTTAGCGGTTTCGTAGAAGGGGTTGGTTGAAGAATAAACCAAAGATGGATGTCGTCCAGTGACGACCATCGAAACCCAAGCGAAGGTTATTCAGAAAATAGGTAGGAATACCAGCTTGTATACCAACAAAGTGAGGAACATTCACCCAGACTCTGTTAATGGATATGTCAAGAGTTACTCTGAATGGCTATTTATTTCACTCTATCTCAAAAGAATGTGCGCAAGTTAACTTGCGAACATTCTGTCCGCGACCTCACCGCAAAATTACTCATTTGCAATGCCATTCACAGCAGATCGATTAACGGAGTGTATGCATCCAAATGTGTAACGTGGTTGCACGTTCGCCTCAGTGATAAGATTAACTGCGGCAAACTGCAAACAGTATGAAGCTGTACTGCGAGACCGATGCGGCGACAAATGTCACGACAAGCCAAAGGCGCGCAAATAAATCAGGTTATTGTACCGGTGTATATCCTGAGGCAACAACCAAGGTTCGCAAAAGCAGGCCCTGAGTCCGCAAGAAGGTATGTTGAGTGATCCGATAGCAATAAGGGAATGAACAACGAACGCGAAAAATTGGGCCATTATGCGTGGAGTCATCGCTGATGTGCTCCGTTAGGTGGCATTTTGCTTATTGCCTCAAGAAATCCAAATTATACCCAATAATCTCAGTAAGCTGTCATTTCATCGAAGGAAAGCGAAGGTTCCTAAGCGACATTCAATCCCGTCATCGTCGGAAACTTTATAAGGCTCTTGGCCAATCGGCGATGAAGTCGAAACTTTTTGAGTACCATTTCTCTTCGATTTTATTAATGAGACTAGAATAACCTATTTGTATAGGTGTTGGTGACCTCGGTGTGACGCGAAGTTAGATACTGAATACAGAAACAGGACGCATTCGATTTCGGCGAAGAAGCATGCCGTAAAGACTTGTCTTATCATCCAGAGTGCAGCCAATTTTGTCCTTGACGAAAAGACCATTAAACAACGGATCTGCTTCATGGGCAAGATCGCGAGTACAAAATTAATGCTTTATTGGAATGATTTTGGCATCTTTAATCAAGACGAGCCGTTGACTCAAAGTGAACATCTTATGAGCGGCCCTAATGTTTGCTCCTACCTGTGCTATACTGTTGAAAGGGTCCATACATGAACAGATCCGGAAGTGAACCCACCTCTGGTTGGTTCGGCGGAGCTGCACGCCACCGGGTGTGTCCTAAGGTTGCGGATCGGGGAGTGCATTCCTTGCGAACGTAACTGTGAATAAGTCTAGGCTGTGCGCAGGTGAGATGAATAAGCAGTCGCTGACAATCAGCGGCAGCGTCATAGAGCGTGGGGGGATCCTGGCGACAACGCGCCATCGGGAGACCCCCGTCACCTGGCCAGGCGTGGACACAAATTGACCACATCGCCATTAGCTATCGCTAGAGTGGTAGCATACAAGATTGCAAATCAATCTGGAATACCTATCTCATTTCGCACCACGTGCTGGTGGTGTCAAGTTCGAGCTACGCTTTGGTGGCTCCCAACAGCGTCGCCGGAAACGACTTGACGTAGCTAAACTTTCTGCCCCGCGAATTTCAGGATACTTTGGCCTAAAGGCTGAAGACAGGGTCATACACAGACGTTGAAACACACTGGACACACATCGGTGGCGCCATGTACAACTCTGCAACGCTGGTCTGTGGCTTCCCCAGTAGTCCTGTCAACCACTGGATGTCTGCATGATCTCTCCAAGTAATCGAAGCCCGTCGAGCAATTCCTGATAGCGTTAAATACCATCCACTACGAATGAGTACTAACGCTGAGCTCAAACAGCTTCTGCGGGAAGATCGCGAGGTCTGGTGGACTCAGCGAGCCATTGAGATGGAGCAAGCGGCCACCTCGGGGAATTTCCGTAAGTTCTTCCTCCTGATCCAATCCAC